CGCTCGGAATTCAAAGGTATCGCTGGTATGCATGTGAACGACCGCCTCGGTTTGTAGAGTCGCAAATGCTGTTTGTCTGGTATTCACATGACGACCCTCGGGCGAGCGCGCCGATGTTATACATAAGCGATGCATGAAGGTTCTCGAGAGCGTTTCTTATGTTTCGCGGTAACGGCCGCTACCGCCCACCCCCGGTAACGTCACGATGCGTGCCAGCGCCGTTTGGGAATGCTTAGGAATAGCCAAAGAAGCTCGAGCAGCAGATGCCGATAGGGGATCCGCTCCGGCAGAGCCCGCGCCGGGCTATGAATGTGCAAGGACCTGCGATGGCGAGCATCGGACAGCCAGGCGCAGCGTCGGGGACTGCTGGGAACAGGGTGTGGCTTTGGTTCATCCTCTCCCTTCCCTCCTCCGTTTCCTCCTCCGTTTCCTCCTCCTCCTCCTCCGTCTCCTCCTCCTCCTCCGTTTCCTCCTCCTCCTCCTCCTCCTCCTCCTCCTCCTCCTCCTGTCGTCGTCGCCGTCGTCCTCCTCGTTGCATTGCAGGGTGCCTCGGGCAATGGCGGAAGCACGAGGGAGGGCGTCGACCAGCGGGAGGGGCCGAGGCAGGCGGGGCCAGGCCGAAACGACCTGTTGGATTACAGCTTCTGCTGCCGGCTCGTGTTCTGGTCAGGGTCCGGGGCGCCCCCGGGCCCGAGGGGGGGTAAATGGCCTCGTCGTCGTCCTCCCCTCCCCCTCCTCCTCCATCCTCCTCCTCCTCCTCCTCCTCCTCCTCCTCCTCCTCCTCCTCCTCCTCCTCCTCCTCCTCCTCCTCTCCCCCTCCTCCTCCTCCTCCTCCTCCTCCCCCTCCTCCTCCCTCCTCCCCTGCCCACTCTCCTCCTCCTCTTCTCCTCCTCTTCTCTCTCTTCTCCCCTCTTCTCCTCCTCCCCCTCCCCTCCTCCCCCTCCTCCCCCTCCTCCCCTCTCCTCCTCCATCCTCATCCTCCTCCTCCTCCTCCTCCTCCTCCTCCTGACCCTCCTCGCTCGCTGAGCCCTCCCTTTCCTCATGCTTCTCCTCTTGTCGTCCTATTCCGCCTTATTGCGCTGCAAGCTGCTTCACATCGCAGCGACGTGCGCACCTCATCGCTGGTGCGCACTAGGGGCGTGCGGAATGGCTTGAGCTCACGAGATGCAACTTCCAACTTAACCTCACAAATAGCGCACTGCGTCTTTTCGTGAACCGTCGGACTTTGCCGCAAATGACAACCTGGGTGTCTTCAGCAATCCAGGAGGCTGGAAACGCACGCGGTTGAAACCACACGCGGCACATGCGGAGGCCAGTTGCTGGATACACGGGCGGGTGGCTGGCGCATTTGGCCGCACGGGGGCCGAACGCTAGAAAGACACGCGGCAGCATGCGTGTCCAGCTCTCGCCCAAGCTGGCCACGCAATGCTTCTACAGCTCCCGGGCAGGACACGCACACACAAGAGAAGTGCCCCGTTGTGCTGGGCTCAACTTTCCCAGCGTGGCAGGAACGGAAGGGAGGAGGAGGAGGAGGAGGAGGAGGAGGAGGAGGAGGAGGAGGAGGAGGAGGCCGCTGGGCGAAGGCAGAGCGTGCGCCCGCGAGCACCGCCGTGGCCCGCGAGCACCACGACGCGTTCGCCTAGGAGCGCAAGTAGGACGAGGACGACGAGAGGAGAAGGACGAGGAGGAGCACGACGACGACGACGACGACGACGAGGCCACGTCCAGTCTGGGGCCCAGGATCGCCCGGACGTTTCCCGGAGCACGCATCGACAACCGAAGTGGAATCAAAGAGGGCGTGTCTGCCTGGACCCACCTCCCTCGCCCCCCCCCGCCCCGTCCTCCCAGCTCTCTCCTCCCTTCTTCTATCCTTGCGTGAAGCACTTTACAACATCATATGGAGGACGAGAACGACGGGAAAAGGAGCACGACAACGACGATGACGACGACGACGACGACGACGAGGACGAGGACGAGGACGAGGACGACGACGACGACGACGACAACGACAACGGGGGAAGGGGAAGGAGGAGGGATGAGGGAGGAAGAGCAGGAGCAGGAGGAGGAGGAAGAGCAGGAAGAGGAGGAAAAGGAGAAGGGAGGCAACCTGCAGTAGCAATTCCTTCTAGGTATGCGCGTTCTGCGCATCAAATCCCTACAAATATCTGCCATCCGAACCGTCTCTGGCCATTCCTGAGCATTCCCGGACGGCGCCTGCGCGAAGCGTAACATTACCTGCCCCCCCTCCTGCCCCCCCTCTGGTCGAGTCTCGCCCGGGAATTGAAAAAACGCTCTCCCGCCCAAGTCGCCCCAGAATCTTTAGTCTTAAGTCGGGCGTGTCCCCCTACAGGGGGATTTTGGACGAAAAATTGAAAAAATACCCCAAACATACGCCGAAATTGTCAAAAAGATTCCAAAAATAGTCCCTCAGACTATTTTTTTTGTATTTTGGAATCTTACTCTTGTGGAGGGAGTAGCTCGACTGAACTTCAGCCCGTGGCTCGGAATCAACGCCCCTCTAACGGGGACTCCACTAACGGGTACGTTGACCAGTGACCCGGCGAACCCCACCTTCCCCGACGTGGGCAACGCTGCAATGCCAGAAAGAGGCCCTAAACTGGCAACTTTCGGCAACTGTCCAAAGTACCCGTTAGTGAGTACCCGTTACAATGCCGCTGACGGAAGACTGGCTCGATGCAGCCGGCCATCGGGCAGCCCGTGGGGCAGCCAAGGCAGCCGCAGCACTCTCGCGTGCGGGCCCCGCGGCGCCCGGGGAACCGACGGCTGGCGGCTGCCGCTCCCGCGGGGCGTGCTTCGCGCACACAGCCACTGTGCCGAAACTAGCGGGCCACATGCCACTTTGACTCCTCCTCCTTCTCCTCCTCCTCCTCCTCCTCCTCCTCCTCCTCCTCCCCTCCTCCCCCTCCTCCTTCCCCCCCCTCCCCCTCCCCCTCCCCCTCCCCCTCGCGACAGCACGCTGGCCGCACCGGGCCGCACGCGAACCCTACCCTAACCCCCACGATTTCCGAGGGGGAGGGGGGTTCACTTCGCTCGGGAGCTCCCGAACGAAGTGAACCCCACCCTCCCCCTCAGAAATCGTGGGAGGTAGGGGTAGGGTTCACATCTGGCCCCCTAGAAACACTGCTCGGGGGTCCCCAAACGGGGCCCTGACTCCAGATCCGTCCTACTTTGGTTTTTTTCCCAACTTAGAATTGCATCGGGAATCCACGTATAAGAAGCCGAAAACGTAGGGCGGAAATTTCCGCACCCAGCATAAAATAGGGCGGAAATCCACGGAAGTAGGGCGGAAACAGCAACAGAAAAGTAGGGCGGAAATTGGCATCAGCGGGGCTTGAAAAGTAAGGCGGAAATTCCAAGCCCTACTTCCGAATTTCCCCAAAGTAGGGCGGATCCGGAGTCAGGGGGTGGTGACCACACCGTGCGGTGAGCCGGTGGGGATTCGGGGTCACCGCGCGGTTTTGGGACTCGGGTCGTTCTCCGAGGACGTATCGGGCAACAGGGGCCTCCGGGGTCCCAAAGGCCGTGCGGCGACGGACCGTGCGGGGAGGTCTTGGGGGACTTCGAGGTCGCCGCACGGTCTGTCACCGCACCGCTTCGGGACTCCAAAAACACTGGCCCTCCGGATCCTCTGGCCGGGACCGGACCTCTGGCGAGAGCAGCGGGCCGTGGTGCCCAGACGTCCAGCCGCTCCACGTGTTTCGGGGCGTGGGCCCTGGAGGCCTGGACCACGTCCCCAGGGCCCGGCTCTCCGTCCATGCGTCGTCTTGCTGCCGGTCCCGGGGCCCGGCGAGGGCTCCCGATGGCCGAACACGGCTACTCCAGATTTCGTAATAAAAGGGAGGGGGTCTGGACCCTCCAAGACAAGCCATTTCAGACCCCCCCCCCCGTGGGAGAACCCTCCAAAACATCGTCCCCAGACCCCCCCAGGCCCTCCAAGACAGCCTGGAAGAGACCCCCCCCGAAATGAGACCCCCCTCCCTTTATTACGAAATCTGGAGTAAAAGCTGGCCGCCCCGACCTTGTCGGAGCGTCGGATCTCTGGACGGGGGCTTGCGGTCCCCGGCCGACGTCCTCGGGCCACTCGCTGGGTCAGGCCCGTTGTCGACGGAGGGGGCTCGGCTTCAGGGAGCGCCGTCGCGGCCACATCCGCCTCCCCGGGGGGGCCCTTCGCCGGTGCAGCCCCTGCGGCCTCGGCTATGTTCACGAATCTGAGGACCCCCTTGCCGTCGTTGGACTCCAGGACAGCCTGGCCGCCGCCGCCCCCCCGCGGCCCCTCTGGGCGGGGCCATCCTCCCCGCCCATTGGCCTGGTCCTCGTCGTCGTCGCCCTCGCCCTCGTCCTCGCCCTCGTCCTCGTCCTCGCCTTCGCTCGCCCTCGCCTTCGCCCTCGCCGACGCCGTCGCCGTCGCCGTCGCCGTCGCCGCCGACGTCGTCGTCGTCGTCGCCGCCGCCGCCGTCGCCGCCGTCGTCGCCGTCGTCGTCGTCGTCGTCGGCGGTGGCGTCGGCGGCGACGTCGGCGTCGGCGGCGACGTCGGCGTCGGCGTCGCCGCCGCCGTGGTCCTCGTCGCCGTCGCTGCTGTCGTGGCTGACGTCCTCCTCCCCGACCTCGTCCAGATCGTACTCCGCGCCCTGCTCATCCTCCAATTCGTCACGGGCGCTGTCCAACATGCCCCCAGCCATCTTGAGAGCAAGAGCGCGGGCCTTGTTTGTGAGGCAGACGCGACACAGCCCGTCATACAGGACCTGGCGTGTAGAAGAGCGTCCAGGGAGAGGAAGCAAAAAGAACGAGACCGAGAGCGGGGATAAGAGACGGGGCTGAGGGAGCATTGCCATGCAGAGCCAGGATGGTGGGCGGGTGCGACGCCAAGGAAAGCAGCGGCCATGGTCTCACGAGCGCAGGAAGGACGGAATGCGCAAATTGCGGCTACTCTGTGGTGCGGAGGAGGAGGAGGAGGAGGAGGAGGAGGAGGAGGAGGAGGAGGAGGAGGAGGAGGGAGGAGAGAGGGGGAGAGAGGGGAAAAGAAAAGAGAAGGGAGAAGGATGGAGGAGGAATGGAGGAGGAAGAGGAGGAGGAGGAGGAGAGGAGGAGGAGGAGGAGAAGAGGAGAGAGGAGTGAGGAGGAGGAGGAGGGAGAGAGGAGCAGGAGGAGGACGATGAGAAAGAGAGGGAGAAGAGGATGAGGAGGAGAGGAGGAGGAGGAGGAGGAGGAGAAAGAGAATGGAGAAGGCGGAGGAGGAGGAGGAGTGCTGCCGCGGAGTCCCAGCGGTCGCGGCCTGCTTCTTGCTGCGGGCGCCCACCCGAGTGAGCAGGTGCAGGCAGGAGAGGGGGCAGGGTGCGACAGAGCTGCTCCGGCCCCTGGCCCCTCTCTCCCTCTGAAAAAACGCCCCAGAGCCGCCCGAGGAGGAGGAGGAGGAGGAGGAGGAGGAGGAGGAGGAGGAGGAGGAGGAGGAGGAGGAGGAGGGAGGAGGAGGAGGAGGAGGAGGGAGGAGGAGGAGGAGGAGGAGGAGGCCCTGCCGTCGCCCCCAGCGGCGCCGCCGCCGTCGACGAGAAAGTGCCGCTCGGGCAGCTCTCCGAGCAGCGGCGGTGCCCGCACGCCGCGCCTGCCTCTATCGCACGCGCCGGCCGAGCAAGGTGATGATATCGGGGTCCAACTTCGCCTGCCGCATCGAGGCTCAGCAGCGTCAAAGCCCGTTGCCCACCGCTCACCCTTCTCGCACGCGGGGGTCCCAGCGTTGCAGCCGATGGCGCGGGGCTCCGACTTCGCCTGCAACACCCAGCTACGCAGCGCCAGAGCCCGATGGCACTGCCCGCTGTTCGCACACGCGCCGAGCCCAGCGACGTAGCTGAAGTAATTTGGCTCCAGCAGCTCATCCAACGCCTTGCTGGGCAACGCCAAAGCATGCTGTCACTGCGCGCGCCTCTGACATATGCTGATCCCATCGTTGCAGCTAGACGTAAAGCTCACTTTCGCCTCCCCCATCTCGCTAAACAGCACCAAAGCCAATTGCCACTGCTGGCCCATCTCGCACGCGGTGATCCCAGCACTGTAGAGGAGATGACGCCACGCTCGAGCTTCTCCTCCCGCGTCTCCCTGAGCAACACCAAAGCGCGCTGGCATTGATCGTCCTTTCCGCAGGCGCTGGTCCCAGCGCTACAGCTGATGGCTTTCGTCTAAAGCTTCGCCTCCCGCATTCCGCATTCCGATGAGCAGCGCCGAAGCCTGCTGCCTGCACCGCCCCTCTCGCAAGCGCTGCTCCCAGCGCTGCAGGTTAGATCACGTCGGGCCTCCCACATCTCGCTGCGCAGCGCCATAGCCTGCTGCCACTGCTCTCCCCTGTTGGTCCAAACGCTGTAAACGACACGATCACGTCGGGCTCCAGCGTCGACATGAAGGTCGCCAAGACGGCCCGAGAGGCTCCCGAGAAGGCCACAAGACGGCCTGGAGGGGCCTCAAGACGCCCCGACAAGCCCAGCCAGACGGGCCCCGAGACAGGAAAAGCAACGTGGACCTCGAGATCCCTTCCCTCCGGGATGGCCCAAGACCCCAAATCCGTAAAGGCCTGCAGTGCAACGCGCAGGTGGCCGATGTGCCCCCGCGAGAGATCTGGCGCCAAGGGCGCCCGAGGGCCGCGCCGGAACCTCAGGGTTCGACGTGGCCCCGGCGCGGCAACTCGTGATCCAAGACATCTCGAGGAAGAGGTCGGGGGGCCTCCTGGGGGCAGGTTCGGGCCGAACCTGCCCCCGAGAGGCCCCCAAGACGGCACTCGTAATCCAAGACATCTCGAGGAAGAGGTCGGGGGGCCTCTTGGGGGCAGGTTCGGGCCGAGCCTGCCCCCGAGAGGCCCCCAAGACGGCCCGAGAGGGCCCCAAGGATCCGCCAAAAGGGGCACCCGGCGCGGGCCCCCTGAAGGGGCCTCCTCTGTAGAGGCCCCCGAGAGGCACCCCCAGAGACCCCGAGAGGCATCCCGCACTGCTATACAGAAGGGCTGCTGACAGTCGCCGGCCCAACGGTCGAGTAGGGGATCGAGTGCAACACTGATCTACCCTAAAATCCGCCGGCCCCCTTGTGGGGCCACCAGGCTGTAGGACCGTGATTCGTAGTTTCCTGTACCAGTCGTAGGTTGTAGTTTCCAGTGTTACAGTTCTGCTTCTCGCTGGTTACTGTAACTAGTTGATTGACCGCGCGAGGGGAGAGGAGGCCCAAACAAGATTTTTAGCGTCTCCTGGGCGCGTTGTCTGAATTGCTGGGGGGGCTGGAAATCGACACCCCTCACGCAGATCCGCAGGGTCAGGGTCCAAAAACACTGGGGATTTGCCACATTTCTGAAATTCGGTGCCGCCCCTTACGCAGATCCGCGGGGTCAGGGTCCAAAAACACAGGGGATTTGCCACATTTCTGAAATTCGGTGCCACCCCTCACGCAGATCCGCGGGGTCAGGGTCCAAAAACACATGGGATTTGCCACATTTCTGAAATTCGGTGCCACCCCTCACGCAGATCCGCGGGGTCAGGGTCCAAAAACACAAAGGGATTTGCCACATTTCTGAAATTGGGTGCCACCCCTCACGCAGATCCGCGGGGTCAGGGTCCAAAAACACAGGGGATTTGCCACATTTCTGAAATTCGGTGCCACCCCTCACGCAGATCCGCGGGGTCAGGGTCCAAAAACACTGGGGATTTGCCACATTTCTGAAATTCGGTGCCACCCCTTACGCAGATCCGCGGGGTCAGGGTCCAAAAACACAGGGGATTTGCCACATTTCTGAAATTCGGTGCCACCCTTCACGCACATCCATCGCAAGGCGTGGTAACCCAAACTACAAAAACTCCCTCGGCCCTTTAATCGCAAGGTGTGGTAACCAAGCCCGTAAACCATACACGTCTTACCAATCGCCAGGTGTGGTAACCCCTCTTGTGATCAGTTGGTTTTGCTGATTGCGAATCGGCTTCGCATGAAGTTTCGATACTGCTTCACGACAGCGCCAAGGCCTCATGACTTAGCTCTTCCATGGCCCATTCTCCGAGAGAGGGGGCCGGCGGCAGGGGGCGAAGCCCTTACGGATTAATTTTCCAGCCGATATCCATGACAAATGCGTGGAATGCTCCGTGGATCCACGGCACACTCTACTTACTCTTCGTGGGCTCGGCGAGAGCATCAATTCTGGGGTAACTCGATTCTGCAGCAGATCCCCTACTCGAAACGGGCCAGAGGCGTGCTACAATTTCTGGCAAGAGTGAAAAAACGTTTCTAGCTCGCGCGCGCGTGGCGGCCCCTGGGGATCCCTGAGATCCTGGCGCTGCAATTTTTGCAGACCGGGCGCTCTCGCCCAATCTCGGGCCCCGTGGCTGTCACAGATCGATCCAGCTCGAACAAACACAAAGAAAGGATTGCAAACAAAAACCAGGATTGCAAACAAAAACCAAGGATTGCAAAAAAAAAAAAAACAGAAACCCAGGGTTTTTTTGCAATCCTTCTTGCAATCCAGGGTTTTTTTTTGCAATCCTTCGTTGCATTCTTTTCGAAACGTCGGATCGCAGGGGCGTTTCGAACTCGCGCGCGCGAGCGTGGCGGCCCTTGGGGGTCCCCGGACGAAATATACCCGGGCAAAGTCCCCGCAGGTTCGGGTCACGGATGCCAGGAGTCCTCTCTCCCTCCCTCCCTCCCTCCCTCCCTCCTCCTCATCCTCCTCCTCCTCCTCCTCTTCCTCCTCTTCCTCCTCCTCCTCCTCCTCCTCCTCCTCCTCCTCATCCTCCTCGTCCTCCTGGGCGCGGCCCTGGGGGGCTCCTGGGGCGCCCCAGGAGCGCGGCAAACGAGCGGCAGGCCACACGGCCTCAGGTCAAGAGCGTGCCGAGATGGTCCAAGCTGGTCCCAAGACGGCCCAAGCTTCCAAAAGAGGGCTTCCAGAGGCCCCGAAGACGTAGTAGCTGTTGATGTTGCTTGGATGCTCCAGCGACTCTGGCAATACCGCCTTTTCAAGCATCCGACCGCCCAGGACGGCCCCAGAGGCCTCCAAGATCGCCCCAAGTCAGCCCAAGAGGCTCCCAGGGCGGCCCCAAGACAGCCCAATAGGCCCCCTCAGAAGGCTCCAGAAGCTCCCATTAAATTAGGGCCCCAGGAAGGGGAATCCGAACAGACATATCTAGCCTTCCACGAAAGTTCGCCCCCGGCCCCCCCGAAGCCCTCGAGAGGCCCACGAAGCCCCAGGAGGCCCACCAGAAGCCTTCGCAAGAACGCCCCCGAGGCCCTCGGGCTCGAGGGCCCTCAAGGATGCCCCACGGGGCTCCCACGCGGCCCCAATGGGTCCTCAAAATGCCGCCGAGGAGGCCCCCGAGAGGCGCTCCCGCGAGACCCCAGGAAGTCTTCCACAGAGGCGTCTGGTCCGCGGACCACGTTTGGTCCCAACACTGCCCGAAGAAACCGTCGAGAAGTTTTCTCCTCCTCCTCCTCCTCCTCCTCCTCCTCCTCCTCCTCCTCCTCCTCCTCCTCCTCCCCTATCGAGTCCTCTATTTTCCTTCTCTCCCGCCATGGGCACACCAACATGTGGCAACAATGGTGCAATATGGGCTGGCGGGATGAATGGAGCGATTACAGAAGGAACGCTAAATTCGCCAGCCTAACGGGCCAGAGGCGTGCTAAGATCTCCGGTAACTGGTTAATAATACTTCTAATTCGCGCGCGCGGAGCGGCCCCTGGGGGCCCCCGGACGAAAAGTACCCCGGCAAGGTCCCGGGAGAAGCCACCA